GAAACAAACTTAATTGAGTTCCAGAGAGACACTTCTGGATATTTCCAGAATTCTCATTTACAATTCCTTTGGAGATCTTGCAAATTGACCTCCAATGTCTTGTGCCTTTTAAATCCACCAGGATCCAACACCCAACCCTATGAGTCACTCCACTTTGCCAGTTGGGGAGAAGCTGATTGAGCTTTAGTCAGGTTCTGTTGGTGAATTTGTTTGCCAGGTTCCTCTGAGCTGTGAGCTCATGTGCATCTGTTGTGGAGCGGTGGTGGGAGGAGAGGGACAGACACTTTGTGAGCAGTTCAACGATTGCTATGCACCACATTGTGTAAAAGATCCCAACGCACTCAGCATGCTCCTATTCTGCCACAGTGAGTCATATCAGCCGGTCACCCAGCTGAGCTCTGGCACAATTGCTCCCAAGCACTTGTGGTGCTAATTTATTTTTATTGTTGTGTTTCTTTAGGCTAATTTCTTTTTATGTCTGACAGAATGTCAATCCCACGTCTCAGTTACACTGAGGTTGACACCCTTTTGCTTTGGACCTCTTTCTGCAGCTGCTGACAGACTGGAGTTTGAATGTAAGTCAAATTGAGACACGTATTCAGGGTTCAGCTGAATCAGGCCTGCTCTTGGATAGCAGTGTATTTCATTCAGTCTCTGTAGTTAGGTCCTGCTCATATCATCCATATTGTGTGTAGACATGTGTGGGTATACAAAGTGACATTTCCAGGAAAAAGGTCACTGAGTTTTTAATTTAGATTGAGAACAAATTGAATTGCTTTGTATTCCATCCACAACATGAATCGGTGCAAATACACAGCAGCTAAAGCATTGCTTCCAGAGCAGGGCTCAGCCTCAGCCCCGGCATTTCTGCCGATGTGCTGGGTCGAGGACTCAGGTCACCCACATGCCACACACCAAGCCATCTACTCCATTCAGCGGCGCACATAGCACGCAAAACATTTGATGGTAAGAAATCAACCTCTTGCTGTGGCATAAGGTAGGACAATTGCATTTTTATCATAGGAATACCCTGTGAGTAAATTGCTTCTTGGTAAGATTCAGATTATTCTCACTCCTTCACCTGTTACTCCCTTGGAATATTGTGCAACAAGGGCCATTGCTCCTGAACAACCACAGAAGGTATCTCGGTTTAGCATCTCAGCTGACGAATGGCACCACCAACCATGTCGCACCTCCCCGGAATTCTATTAATATTTCAGCCTAGACTGTAAGTACCAATGAGGAAAGTGAACCCACATCCTCCTGCATCAGAGGCTCAGAGGCAAGAGTCACACTGACACCCAGCCAAGCGGCAATTACTGCTGACCAACCCCTGACTAACATGAAACATCCACACGGTTCTGAAAGTTGAGTAGTATTTCCACCAATAGAATGGGCGTTTTTTCAACTTAAAACTGGTGTCCTGACCAACAGTCCCCCGTTTTTTCAACTTAAAACTGGTGTCCTGACCAGCAGTCCCCTAAAGAAAATTGGGTTATTTGTTTTGTCGCTGTTTGTAGGACATTGCCGTGTTCAATTGGGCTATCGCATTCGCCTACAAATATATAGTCACTCCATTTCACAGTAAAATCCTGTGAGGCGCTTTGAGACATCCTCCCGATGTGAAAGGAGCTATTCTAAATGCAATAATTCTTATCGCCACATTTTTGAGAACAATTCCAATAATAATAATAATCCTCGCATTTGATATAGCGCTTTATCACGTCTTTAATACGTCTCAAAACGCTTCACAGAATATACTGTAAAGTGCTGTGACTGCATTTTATCTCTAGCTGCAGTAGTGCAAGCCCACCGGCATTCCAGCTAGGCAGGATCTGAGGCAACACAACGTATCCCCATGCGCTCTCACCAATTACACTTCCCAATATGTAAAGGTCCCTTTGGAACAGTTTGTGGGACTTTGCATTGAGATGCTAGCCCGCTGAAGGGCGCGACATAAATGCAAGCTGTTGTTGTTCAATTGAATCACAGGCAGACGGATGCAAAGGACAGAAATCATCCCCTCCGTTGCCTCCTTGAAAGCCTATCTCAAGTCCTTCCTCTTTGACCGTGCCATCAGTCATCCTCTTACCTCCACCCCTTTGCCTTCCACCCCTCTTGATTCCAACCCCAAGCTTGGGTGAAAACCCCTGACTATCCAGCGCCTTGGGATGTCCTACCAATGTGAAAGACGTATCCAAATGTGTATTGTATAAACAATAAAGCCATATTAATTTAAACTCCATAAAACACAAGCCTAACAACTCACTGTGCACAGTAACAATGACGCTGTTGTACTTAATGAAACTAGCACAAATTAAATGTCTCAAAGTATATTCTGTGAAGCGCTTTGAGACGTGATAAGGCACTATATCAAATGCAAGGAATATTAATACATTAAAAAGTACAAGTCTTTCTGCCCTGCTCCAAACTCGACCCTTTAAGGTTGTTTCCTTTTCATTGCAAAAGCAGCAAGCTTAGAACAAACGACTAATGCACCAAAACATCCCATGAATTTACATTAGACGTTTACATTTTTTACATCTTTGCCATATCTTTAGCTGCATTTCAACAGAGCTGTGATTTTTTTACATAAATCCTGTAGGATTTGTAACAGAGCTTAGCTCTGTGAGGATAGCTTGTTATTGACTCCATGTATGTCCACAGTTATACTCACACTGGTATTAGTCTGGTTCAGTTGGTAGCACTTTCACCTTTTGAGTCAAAGATTTAAGCCCCACATTGGGACTTTAAGTTTATATGCTCAACGACATTTCAGTTCAGTATTGGGAGAGTGGTGCATTGTCAGAGATGGAGTGCTGTGGATGTGATGTTAAATTGAGGTCCTATCTGCTTGTTCAGGTTGCCGTTAAAGATCCCATGACACTATTCGCAAAGAGGGGGGAATTCCTCCTGATGTCCTATGCAACAACAGACACAATTAGTCATTCAACTCAGATGTTTGTGAGTCGTGTATAAATTAGTTACTGTGTTTGCCTCCAAAATAATCAATCCCCAAACCCTTCAGTTCAGCCACCCCCCAACCTAGGTACCCAGCCAGCTACATAAACTCTTTGTGTCATCCTCCTGAGCTGAAAGGCGCTATACAAATGTGTATCGTATGTTCAGTTTGCGAAAGATGCTACACCAAATGCACAGATTATTTTTATGCCTAGTTTTGGAAAAGGTGATTGCAGATTGGAACAGCTGTTTTGTATTGTGGAAAACAACAACAACTTGCATTTATAACACCCTTCACATGTGATGCTCATTCTCAAAACGTTTCACAAAGACAGTGGGGATCACTGAGCCAGAAGAGAGGAAGGGGAATTTGATTGTATTGACGAAAGACATGGAGAAATAGATTTTTAAGAGGGGTATTATGTAAAAGGGCTATGGGGATTGAAAGTACAGCTGATTCTGGAGGCCAGTGCTGACTCAATGGGCCAAATGATTTCCTTCTGCTATGTAAATTTCTATGATTCAATGATTCTAAAGTTTGAAAACTTTTAAAAGGGTTTTGAGGTGGGGAGGAAAGGCTCGAGAGATTTTGGAGAGTTGCAGAGAATGGGGTCATGATAGCTGAAAGCTGAACCCCTAACTCATATGATTCAAACTGTTTCCAGTTTATTCTCAAATCTCTGAAAGTGCAGTCCTAGTCCTTGTTTAGTGGAGGAAAGTATTTATCCTGCAACAAGCTGGTGTCATGGTCTGGAGGAGCTGAATATCTGGAGTTTTAAGTTTACTATCTGATCTCTGGAGATTTGCTGGTTTCTTATTGATCTGTTTTCTCTGGAGGTCTGGGGGAAGGGAGGAATTAGACAGGGTATGTATATTTTATCTCTGCTGTCTGCCTGTTAAGGTGGATGTTAAAGATCCTAATGCACTATTAAAGAGAAGGGAGTTTCTCCTGGTATCCTGGTCAACAATGTCTCAGATAAAATTGGTCATTCACTTCAAGGATACTTGTGGGATGTTGCTGTGCGTAAATTAGCTCCTGTATTTACATACAAATTGACAGTCACTACACTTTACAGTAAAATCGTGTGAAGTACATAATAAAGCACAGTGCACAGATTGTTATTATTTTTGTCCATTCAGGTTTGTGCTGAAGTTCTGTGAATGTTTCAGTGTAGAAGTATAGCCGTGTTATTTGCTACATGATTGTGGTAAAGATGGATATTAAGATTGAAAAGGACTGAATGGAAGAGAATTGCTTTTTTTATTACATTTCCAGCAATCCTGTCAGGTCACTCACTGTGTGAGTGCAGTGGCGTAAACCAGAACCTCCCACCCCTCCAGGAGGGTAGAGTAGCCAGTTTCCTCTCACAAGGAATCTCTTAATATACATATCAATTGTGAAGAACAATTAACCGCCAGGCAATCTGTAGTCTGCATTTCTGTCAGGTACTGTTAATAACACCTTTATTTTACTATGGAAAACCACATCAGGGCTCCGTGAATGTTTTAATGAAGCTCCTGTCCATCACCTTATTGTACCGTACCTACATATCTTTTATTAACATTTGCAGCATTTGATACAAAGATGTAGCAGCTATTTTATTTAACTGGGTGCTGAGCATAGGGTTATAGGGGCTGTGGCCTTGGAATTTGTGTTTATACCTAAAGCTATTGGAGATACTCTAATGAGCCCCCTTTTGAAATGCCTAATAAGACCCAAAGCTGTTGTCAAAACGCAAGCTTCTGATGCCAAACAGACTGAGTCAGCAGCTCTCTACAGCTGCCTTCTGGCTAAAAAAGCAGAGAATTATTATCTGGGGAGAAATGGTACAAAAATATTTATAGTGTGTTTCTGAGCGTGTGCAGTTCAGCGTTACAGATTGGTTTGTCAGACCGGAGAATCCGAGTGCAAGGATAAGAACGGACTAAAAGTGAAGCTTTGTAATGCCAGCGATCGCTTTATTAATCCTTCCGTCCTCCACGGGCAGGGATATTAACAGTCGGCTCCAGTGTTACCTTCTCTTGCTTTATTTTCACAGTGATGGCTTCTGCAGCATGGCTTTGTCCCACTGCAACCTGCACTGACTGAAACAGCAGCAGTCATGTTCAGTGTGGAGGACCTGCTGATCTCACATGGATATCAACCACCAAAGAAAACTTCAAAGGACAAGCCCCCGTCCTCGAACGAGAACACCTTCGCCGGCTACCAGCGGGAGGCCAGAGAGAACAGGTCCACCCACGGCACTGTGAACGGGTATGAGACTGACACTGGGGCCTACCTCGCCAGCAGGCAAGCACAAGTGAAGGGCTACTTCAGTGACAACGAATGCAGGGAAGGGAACGCCTGGAGACAGGCTGATGTCAGTCATTGTGCTGATGTGCACAATGTGCCCACCACGTTTGCTGTGAAAGAAGCCGGGTGAGTTAGCCAGCTGTTGTGGTGAATCCTTTCAGTGCTTTGATGAATGCTGTGACACGATGCAACAATATTCCCCTGAAACCAGTGTGAAATGCTTCTTCACAATACAAGCTAACTAAGTGGGTGCTCATCTGTTTGAGACTTGCAGGTTACAATTGTAATGAAATGGATCGTAAAAACATCTATAAAAGCCTTAAAATCCCACTGTATCTACACAGTGGATATGGAGAACGCTCCTCTTTCTAATATACCCTCAATGTATTTGTGGCGCTTTCTAAGATATTTCACAGAGGAGTGTAATGTTTGTTTAATAGTTCATTACACAGACAGCTGTTGAACAAGGTGTAAAAACATTAAAATCTATTTTCATTTTAATTGCAAAGTGTCATTTCGAACAGTTGCAAAAAAAAATCAGGTTGAGCTTCTGACGAAATGAAATTGTGATTCCCGTTCAAAAATGATATTCAATGTAAAAAAAATCTGTTTTCTCAATGTGACCCTATTCCAGCTTTGGTAAAAAGGATGCAGTGGTTAGTATCACAAATGTATTTATTGCAAATAAGCAAAAGTTCTATTTTATTCCTGTTCTCACTCAATTTGTGATGAAGATTGCAGTCTGTGACATATTAACACTTGGGTTTAAGATCGTTGCCTTTACATTTTTTGGAAAATTCTTAAATTCAGCCTTGATTTGGAAGCATTTCCCCCCCCCCCCCCACACACACACACACACGCAGCAGTAAATAGCACAAGGGTGAAGATTGTTAATTAACACACAGCACAAAATTCCACTCCCTCAACTGTTTTGTCTGCTGGTGTGCCCTCACCCACCAACTCCATTCCAATGGATGGGCAGTGTTTCCTTTCCCTTTAGGAAATACAGCAGAGCCCTGTTGTAACACAGCAATTGGAGGGTGGGGGGGGTGGTGGAGAAGCGGGGGAGGACCATAACATTTTGGTCAGTGTTATAACAAGGTATGGTCAGTGCTTTTGCATTCTGCAAAGCTGTCCAGCTTCCCACGCTAAACAATGGCTGACTATGTCAACAGGTTGCCACAACATCACCCGCAGCGCACAGGAAATCAGGCAACCTGATTCGGCCCAGCTTGGGTGCCCATCCGGCATTGTGAATTGCGTTTAGATGTCCTTCCGACACGAAGGGCGTTATATAAATGTAAATCATACCATATATTGTAAATTGGTCTTTTTTTCAACAATTCCTTGCATTTTGCTACAGCGCCTTCTAAGTCAGAAGAACATCCCAAAGTAATTCACAGAATGTACTGTAAAGTGCAGCGACTCTATTTTGTGTGAGAAGCTGGCACTTTCTGTGCACATTTTGGATTTTGTGCTATGTCAATGTTGGGATCAACACCCCTATCGCATTATAGTGAAGCATGTTATAACAGGATTCCAGTGTATTGCAATTTGTTTTCCAGCAAGAAGCATCCTACTATATAAACACAGAAGTTGCTGGGAACACGCAGCAGGTCAGGCAGCATCCATAGAGAGAGAACTGAATTCTAACAAAACGTTTCCTCTCTTCATGGATGCTGCCTGACCTGCTGCGTGTTCCCAGCGACTTCTGTGTTTATACTAGATTTCCAGCATCTGCAGTACTTTGCCTTTTTTTATTTTTTAGAAGCATCATACTGCCGGTTAGTAGGATGCTGGCTTCATTTAGGAGGAAATCTCAGAGATGAGCCGGTATCTCCAATAACAGACTCTCAAATGGCACAATCCAAAAGCTGGCAAGTGTGTTGTGCACGACAGATGGCTTTAGGCCCAACCACTGTGACAGAATCGTGGGACATAGAGTCAATGAATGTCCTTAGTTATCCACAGAGTGGCATTTTCAACTGTGTGTTAATTAACACATCAAAGGTTACAATATTCACCCTTGTCTTATCTAAGAACTTCACAGGGAGAGGGAAAGCCTCCAAATTATCACTGAATCAAAGGATTTTCCAAAATATTGCACAACCTTAAATTTGAAGACATTGGTCTTTAAGCCTAAAACCATGAGAAGTTTCCAGCCTGAGACGTCTGATTGTGACACGCAAATACCTCTTGCTTTATCACTGTTCCAGATGTTACAGTATCAGATTTTATCATCTGAGCCGGGCGAGAATGATGTGCAGATATTTCTCACACTTCCTTATGCCCCCAGAACAGCTTCACATATTTTACGTTACAGACTTCATGTAGTTGAGGAGTCATGGAAGTTTCAAAGGAAAATGACAATTTTGTTTTGACGTTAACTCTAGATGTGCCGGGCTTTCTGTCCGTGTGATGATTGCTGACTGTTAGCCCCTTTCACATCGGGAGGACATCTCAAAGCGCTTCAGGGGCTATACTGTAAAGTGCAGTGACTTTATTTTGTGGGTGAATGTAGATTATGAAAAGTTGAAATGTATTCAATGTCAAGTTTGTGGTGCAATTACAGCCAACACACAGTAATCTGTCTGGCAATGGGGACGGTACATTAGTGCTTTTTCATAATATCTACGATTACATTGAGGACATTATAAAACTCTGCTAGTTATTTGCCGTTCAATAATTAATGCCACCCTCAATAATCTACTCCCTATCCTCCCTTTTTGTGGTGTTTTAGCAACATAGTGGCACCAACTTGATATTGCTGGGACAAGTGGAGTCTCTGGTCCTGGACAACACTGTGTTAATTCAGTCACTATTCTCTTCTGCTGGACTCATCTAGTTTGTTGATCGAGGCAGTGTTTCAGAATAGGTATCCCTTTGGATACCTGTGGAGTCCTGTAGCTCTGTGGTTAGAGCACTCGCCTCGCAAGCAAGAGACGTGGGTATGATTCCCGGCAGGGTAAAACATTGGGTAAGTTTCCTTACTCCACACGCCTCTGTTTACCCAGCAGTAAGTAGGTGTTAGTTGATTGGTGGGTTGCTTATCCGGGGGTAATAATTCCTTCAAAAAAAAAAAAAAAAATTGGTCACTTCAATCCCTGATTGTCTGTGGGACACTGCTGTCTGCCGCGTTTCATCCACAAAATATACAGTCCACCAAATTTATTTGACAGTATATTCTGTGAAGCGCTTTGAGACGTCTCGAAGACGTGATAAGGCGCTATATTAAATGCAAGACTTATTAATATTGTAGCACTGGCATCGTGGAATCGTATTTCATCATGAGGCAGCAACTGCAGGAGAGAAAGAGAAATTACTCCCAAAAACTTGAAATTTGGAGCTCCACATTGGGACTTTGAACTCACAGTCTAGTCTGACACTCCAATATGGTCCTGGGAACAACCCTGCATCACTGGAGGTGCTAATCTTTGGATTAAACGTTAATCCGAGGTCCCATCTGCCTGTTCAGGTGGATGTATGTTAAAGATCTCATGGCACTATATGAAAAAGAGAAGGGAGTTTCTCCTGCTGTCCCAGCAAACAATCCCCAAGATAAAATTGGTCATTCATTCCATGGCTGTTTGGGGGAACTGATGTGTGCAAATTAACTGGCACGTTGGCCTACAAAATACACAGTGACCACATTTTACCGTAAAATCCCTTGAAGCACTTTGAGACCTCCTGGTGTGAAAGGTGCTGTATCGAATACAAAGATTATTATTTATTGTTATAAATATCTGATAATATAGAACAATGAGTTCTTGTGTGGATAGCATTCCAGAGCAAGAACCATGTGTTCATCTTCAAATATTAATTTATTCTATTCTTTAATTGGATTCCTTAACACAGAATCCAAGCAAAAAATAAAATCGATATTCCTTTAAGTCACTGGAAGTTTGTCATGCTATCCCATGGGAATTCCATTCCGACATATTTCTGGACTTGAGTTCTTGTGGATGGGTGAGAATTATGACAGAATTCCATATTAAGGAATCACGTTTCGAAATCCCGCATGTTAGACTTTACACACATCTGCTAAGTAGGTTCTACAATAGGACGTTTCAATGGGTGACCCAGTGGTGATCTGCAGTGCTCTGAGGATGCCCTCCAGCACTGAGATGAGTTGCAGCTGTTGTATATGAATGCGTTGCAAAAACTACTACTTATTAATAGTTTTTCTGAACAAAATGTTCCTTAAAACCTTATGACTGGCTATTTTCCTTTCTTCTTACTGCTTGTCAGCTTCCAGCTTTGCCCCTTTTTTGTATTTGCATTGATCATCAGCGCAAGACCAGCAAGACCCAATGTCCATGACCAGGAAATTGTGTTACAAACTTAGTGACCACAATCAGAAATGACAGTGATATTAAAGGCAAGCTACGGCGGTTGTAGCTGGTTAGACTCCAGCAGTACCCCAATGCACACTCTGGGGTCTCCAAGCCTTGGCTCTTGCCAACCTGCGCCTAATACTTTCCGGAATTAGGTAAGCAGGATGTGTCACACCAGGGGAGAGAGTGCGCATTCCATTTCAACAATCTATCTCTGGGATTTCCATGAGTAGGTGGGATACATGAAATTCTCAGTTTGGGTTGGAAACTCTGAAGCACGGTGATGGGTTTCTGCATGTATCAGACATGCCCCCCCAGCACCCATCAGAGTCAAAAGCTCACATGTGAATTATAGTCACTTGGACAAGGTAATAGTCCATGAATCCATATCCCATTGAGGAGTTATTTCTATGCTTTGTCACAAAGTTAAACTCTGACATTGTTAAAACACTGCAGTGATATTTTTGTATTTCCCTGTTGCCTTGTACTGACATATCTGCTGTCTTGTACTTATATACCTGCTGCCCATTTCAAACCTGCCCTTCCTGGATGAAGCCCTGGAACACGTTGCTGCAAACCAACTTAGCTCACACCTCGTCCTCCAGTCCGATTTCCCCCCAGCCTACAGCACAGCGACCGCGCTAATCAGAGTAACAAATGACATCCTTTCTCTGTGTGATCAGGGTTTCCTCTGCCCCCTCGTCCTCCTGGACCTCTCTGCTGCGTTCGACACAGTCGATCACGCCATCCTTCACCACCTCCTCTCCTCCCTCAACCACCTTAGTTGGACCA